GTATATATAAAATGTGTGGAAAGCGGCACAACAGAAAGAGTAAAAAAGAAATAAAAAGAACAAGAGATAAGTGAATATACCAAAATAAATACCAACACACAATAAATTAAGTTTTTGTTTCTGTTTCGTAAGGTTCAAACTATATTTGAAATCAAACACACACGATTTTTGTTTGTTTTTGTAAAAAAAAATCAACATTAATCAATGAACTATCGACAACTAAATATTAGAATTAGTGGCAAACATTAAAAATTGTCATTAAACATTAGAAATATTGTAAAGATTTAAACGAATTTTACAGAGATTATATAAGTATATATGTATGTATGTATAATTTTAGTCAATAATAATAATAATAATAATAATAATAGTCATAATAATAATAAGAGTTCGAATTTATCAACTTCAGTGGCTAACAACTTAAGGTGCGCAAGTCTGTGGCAATCATTTTTTTTTTTTATTTTTCATATTGTTTTTTCGTTTTTTGTTGTAAGTAGTTTCGTAATTCTAAACAGGGATAAAACACATAAAAATATAGACTACATATTGAACTTGTATAATTGTCAGTACATAAATTATATAACGTAAACATTGAGGAAAAAACATAATAATTATGAAAAATCACACGAGATCTAAGATTAAAACATAGTTCAGTTGTCATTGAATTTATTAATTTTTTATAAACATACATCATGTATACATAGCGTGTATGTAAATTGTTGAAATATATCAAAGAAATATGTATAATACATCGAGAGCAAGATACAGTTAGATAGATAGAGATAGATAGTGAGTTTGAGAGAAATATGTATATAGGAAAAAACGAAAAGTTTACATAGTTTGTTTTTCATTATTCTCTTTTAATAGTCAACATAGGAGTCAAATCTTGAACATAACATTAACATAACATAACATAACATAATTTTGATGGCTTAACAGTTTTAAAGATGATTTCAGGTGTGACAATGTCTGTGTGTGTGTGTGTGAATATATGGGTGTGGGTGGATGTGTGTATCGCAAAGAGAGAGAGAGCGATCGATGATGAATTAAGATATTGACTTTCAACTGGTTTATTGATTAGTAAGAGCGCTTTATAGCTAGCATGTACGATAATGCGTGTGTATGGGTGTGTGTGTGTGTGGGTGTATGATGGCTAAACGATATACAGTTCGAACTTCGTTATGTTCTAAAGAGTGTGGATCGGGTGTTCAGGTATGGGAATTTTCGGATCTTGTGAGTGTTTGTGCTAGAGTACATTGTGTTGATGTTCATATAACGTATATATATATAGATATACTTAAGTATATGTATATATTAGCAGCATACAGCATTTATAGTATTTATGTATATATAATAGGTATATTTCTATAACTAGGCAATATTCGTTACGCATGTTCGTTGCTCAACAATTTTAAACAATTAGAATTACAACAGCATTCACGAAAGCTAACTAACTAGCTAACTGTTTATAGGTAGAAGAG